CAAGCATGGTGTAAAAGGATATAAGCTTTGGGAACCAGTTGAGAAAAAAATTATGCTGAGTAGAGACGTCACATTTGATAAGGCTTCACTCTTGAAGCCTACCAGCTCTCATCAGGTAGAGAACACCCTTACAGAGGAGATATCAAAGGTGATGGAGATTGATGCAGCTCAACAGAGTCCAGATGAGACCATATCCATTAGAGTGCTGACTGAGGTGACGTCAGGTGAGCACGGTGATGATTTAGAGGATACAGGTACGACAGAGCAAGATCAGGGACTGACAGCTCAGGTTCAAGATTCAATTGCAATTTGGAGACCAAGGAGAAACATACAGTTGCTAATGAGGTATACGAACACGGTCGTTGCATATACGCTTTCGGTGGAGAGCATCGACGAGATGGTTCCTACTACATTCAGAGAGGCTGAGCAGAGTTCAGAGGCTGATTTGTGGTAAGAGGTTATGCAGGAGGAGATGAAGTTTCTTCACAGGAACGACACATGGGAGCTTGTTGAGCTTTCAAAGGGGCAGAAGGATATTGGTTACAAATGTGTATATACAAAGAAGGAGTGCATTCAGGGCACTCCTATGAGGTTTAAGGCTAGATTGGTTGCGAGGAGTATGCACAGGAAGAAGGCATTGACTACAATGAAGTCTTTTCTTCGGTGGTGAAGCACACTTTGATTCATAGGACGAAGATCATCATGGACTACATGCACACAGATGTTTAGGGTCCCACTAAGACGGCATCACTAGGTGGTCGACATTGGTTCGTCACGTTTGTTAATGACTATTCTAGGCGTTGTTGGGTGTACACCATGAAGCATAAGTATGAAGTCCTAGATTTGTTTGTGGAGTGGAAGAAGAAATTAGAACTACAGACTAGGAGAAAGATCAAGACGTTGCGATCCGACAACGGCGGCGAGTACACTTCAGACCCCTTTTAGCAGCTATGTCAAGACGATGGCATAGAGAGGTACTTCATAGTTAGTCATATACCGCAGCAGAATGGGGTTGCAGAGAGGCTGAATCGGTTTTTACCGGAGAAGGTCTGATGCTTATTAGCGCAGAATGGTTTGGAGAAGATATTTTAGGCTGATGCACTTACATATGACAGACACCTCATTAATAGGCTGCCTTCATCTGCGATTGAGGGAAAGACCCCTATGGAGATATGGTCGGGAGAGACAGAACATGACTATGACCAGCTCAAGGTATTTGGTTGTCCTACATATTATCATGTTAGAATAGATAAATTAAAACCTCGAGCTAGGAATGCTATATTTGTAGGACTCAAACGTAGTGTTAAGGGATACAAGCTATGTGATCCAGTTAATAGGAAGATTATGCTGAGTAGGGACATCACATTCGATGAGGCGATGTGGTTTTTATCTTGAAGCTTCCCAGCTCTCATCAGGTGGAGAGCGACCCGACAGAGGAGATATCACAGGTGGTGGAGATCGATGCAGCTCCACAGTGTCCACATGGTGCAGTATCCATTAGAGTGCCGACTGAGATGATGCCAGGCGAGCACAATGATGACACGGAGGATACGGGTACTGATGTGCAGGATCATGGACCGACGGATCAGGTTCAGGATTCTATTGCGGTTCGGAGACAGAGGAGAGACATACGGGTGCTAACATGGTATACCGACACAGTTGCGTATGCACTTCTGGTGGAGAGTATCGATAAGATGATACCTACTACTTTCAGAGAGGCCGAGCAGGATTCGGAGGCTGATTCGTGGCAGGTAGCTATGCAGGAGGAGATGGAGTCTCTTCATAAGAACGATACATGGGAGCTTGTTGAGCTTCCAAAGGGACGGAAGGTGATTAGTTGCAAGTGGGTATACACGAAGAAGGAGGGTATTGAGGGCACTCCATTGAGGTTCAAAGTTAGGTTGGTTATGAAGGGCTATGCACAGGAGGAATGTATTGACTATAATGAGGTTTTCTCTCCGGTGGTGAAGCACTCTTCTATTCGGATTTTGCTAGCTTTGGTGACACAGTATGGATTAGAGTTAGATCAGTTGGATGTGAAGACTATATTTTTTTATGGTGATCTTAATGAAGAAATATATATGACTCAGTCATTGAGATTCTGAGCTGCAGGGAAAGATAAGTTGGTTTGCAGGTTAAAAAAATTACTATACGGATTGAAGCAGTCTCCTCGACAATGGTATAGACGGTTTGATGGTTTTATGCTTGGTCATTCTTACACTCGGAGCCAGTTTGATCCTTGCGTATATTTTTGCAAGTTGAGAGGAGGTGCGTACATTTATTTATTACTTTATGTCGATGACATGTTGGTTGCCTCTATTTTCAGGTCGGCTGTAGATGAGTTGAAAGTTCAGCTTTCAAATGAGTTTGAGATGAAGGACTTGGGCGAGGCGAAGCGCATTTTAGGGATGGAGATTGGCAGAGACAAGAAGAATGGCAGAATTTATTTAACACAGATGACTTATTTGAAGAAGGTTTTACAGCGATTTCTTGTTTGCATGGATACGAAGCCAGTTAGTATACCATTGGGACATCATTTAAAGCTTTCAGCTGGTCTTTCACCGAAGTCAATTAAAAATCGAGAGTTGATATCAAAGACTCCTTATGCGAGTGCGGTTGGGAGCTTGATATACGCGATGGTATGTACGAGGCTGGATTTATCACAGACGGTGAGCATGATTTCGAGATACATGCATGATCCAGGAGTGGGTCATTGGGATGTCGTGAGATGGATTTTAGGGTACATTCGAGGTACGCTCAATGTTGGTTTAGTTTATGAGCGGGACACTACAGGTGGGTAGTTGTATATTGGATATGTGGATTCGGATTATGTCGGAGATTTGGATAAGCACTGGTCTATGACGGGGTATGTGTTCACTTTGACCCGTGCACCGGTGTGTTGGAGATGCACCTTACAGTCGACGGTAGCTTTATCTACAATGAAGGCAGAGTATATGGCAATTACGGAGGCTGTGAAGGAAGCTATTTGACTTCAGGGACTTTTGGAGGAACTTGGTATATCGCAGAGGTCCGTCACTATTTATTGTGATAGCATGAGTGCTATCTATTTGGCGAAGAATCGGGTTTTTCATGCGAGAACGAAACACATTGACGTTCGTTATCACTTCGTGCAAGATGTTCTTGAAGATGGCAATGTGGAGATTGTGAAAGTCCACACGAAGGATAATCCGACAGATATGCTCACTAAGGTGGTTCCGAACAACAAGTTTGATCATTGTAGAAACTTGTTACATATTCGTGATTGTTGAGGCTGTTAACGGCCATTTGGATGAACTACGAGCGGCTTGATCCCTTGGGAGAGGGGGTACGTAGGCAACCATATTGGTGCAGCCATATTTAGAGAGACGACGCATTGATGCTCTTTGTTTGGTGTCGGCTCAGTTTTGACAAATTTTGCCGAGGTGGAGAATTGTGGAAGAATTCAGAAATCCAGTTTTCAGATTGTGAGTCGACTCATACATGCACATGAGTCGACTCATCAGGTTGAGTCGACTCATCAGGTTGAGTCGACTCATGTCTGTCATGAGTCGACTCACGAAACCCAGCCGTTTTGTCACAAGTTTCTGACGAGTCAACTTACCTCAGTCATGAGTCGACTCATCGAGATGGTTTCTATTTTGTCAAGTTTCTGACGAGTCGACTCACCTCGGTCATGAGTCGACTCACCTCAGTCATGAGTCGACTCATCGAGATGGTTTCTGTTTTGTCAAGTTTCTGACGAGTCGACTTACCTCAGTCATGAGTCGCATGATCGTTGACTAGAGATGGCTATACGTTTGTTCATTAACTTAATTAATTGGCTAGTAGAAGCCTACGAGTTGCACTTAAACAAAAGGAGAAAAGATTCATTTGGCCCCTACCTTTTGGTCTCTTTTGAGTCGAAGCAACTGCGCAGGGCGATTAATTAGTCATTATTAGAACAAATAATAAACTTTGTAAGTGTAATTTTTATACTATTAGTTATTCAACTAGTGACTCGGAGAGGACAAGACAGTACTGCTAAGATGATGTATCATGGTCCATGTGACGATATTCTTGTTTTTTATTTTTTTTATTTTTTAGACAGAGACAATAATTTTTTTATAATATAAAAATAAAAATAACTCTCATCATAACTTTAAAATTTTAATATAATAATTAGTGAAACTAATTTTAAGATCGTATCAGAACCAACTCATGTTCGAATCTTTCTATTCATGAATTTAATGTGGAGTTAAAAAATTATTACACCTATGTGATTCTAGCTTTCAACTCATAAAAAAAGTGTATATAAAAATATCATATTCAACTCTCATCATAACTTCGGGACTATAAATTTAAGAACTAAATGTTGGGACTTAATTTAAGAATTATCATTTCTCAATTCTTATGATTCTTTTTCATCTATTTGATCTGACACTCTTCCGTAATAAATATGATTTAGAGTCTCCAATTTTTTCTTTTAGAATTAGATGAGAGGTTGTTTTGATAAATACGATTTAGAGGCATGTTTAGTTTTTAAGACAATTAATTGTGATGTGACTTTTTCAAATAATAGTCGTTTGGTTTTTCTTTTTTTTTTTTTTTGGTCAATGAAAATTTTTATTCATTACCAAGTATAGAAGTATGGAGTACATCAAGATATTGTTCTCTCAAGACTGGTTATAGAACCCAGTCTTCAAACTTTACAATTTTTCTACATATTCTTTCATGTAGTGTGGTATGTTGTCATTTAAAATTCTTGTATATACATGTAACTTTATCATACTAAAAAGATAATCAGAACTTCTTGATTTCTGTTGGAAGATTCTCAAATTTCTCTCTTGCCATATCATGTACACTGATACGAATAATGCCATTCTCTTCAACTTTTTTTTTTGTAATTTTTCCATCTCAAGCTCCTGCTGTACCAATTGATGATTTGGTTCCACTCACAAGATTTCCAGTTGAAACATAACCAGTCCATTACCTTATTCTATACCCTTGCAGAATAAAGACAATCAAAAAACATATGATGACATGTTTCCGTCTGGCCTTCCCTAGAGCATAAAACACACATATTAGAGCTCAAGATCATCATTCTACATAGCCTCTCTTGTGTTAAGAGTCTTGATTGAGCTGCCAACCAGAGGATAAAAAAATGTTTAGGAATATGCCATCCACCCCATACAGTTCCTGACCATATTATCAAGCCAGATTGTTGAAATAGTTTTCTGCACATCACTGATACACTGAGCTTGCCATTAACACAACTGCCACTGATGACATTTTGCAAGTTGTTCACACTTCCAAGCTTTTCAATCAGCAAATTTCTCACTCGTAGCAATTGCCTCCACAGCCATGAATCACACTTCTTAGATTGGACTTGCCAGATGTTACTATGTCTCAGATAGTGACCATGAATCCATTTAATCCAGAGAATATCTTTCTTAAGATGTATCATCCAAAGGAGCTTAGCTGTCATAGCATAATTCTAACATTTTGCAGAAAATAGCCCCAGGCCACCATGATCAATCCCCTGGCAGACAGAGTCCCAGGACACTAGATGAATTTTGTGACCCCATAAGAAGTCTGAGCACATACTATCAATTTTTTCAAGAACTTTGATGGGGAGAATATAATTACTAGTCCAAAAGATCTGAATTCTCATAATGACTGATTTTATCAACTGTAATCTGCCAGCATATGAGAGTGGCTTCCTTTTGAGCCAGTTTTGAAATTGTTCAGATATACTGTTAATGAGAGGAGAGCAATATAGGCAAGAGAGTCTTTTAGAGATTAGAGGCATACCCAAATAGCGCACTGGCAAAATCCCCTCCGAGAAGTTAAGGAAATTACAGATTTGATTCTTCGAGCTTTCATCAATCCCACTCAAAAAATAGAGCATTTAGTTGGATTTGGTTCTAGGCTAGATACCTGACTAAATTCCGTTAGGAAATTCTTTAATCTTGAAATTGTACCCATATCAGCTTTGCCTAACATGAGGAGATCATCTGTAAATACTAAATGAGTTATGTTCAACCCCGAACACTTGGGATGGAATTTATAAAATCCGTCTTCCTTGAGCATGCTGAGTTTCCGAGACAAGTATTCTATTCCAATTACAAACAAATATGGAGATAAGGGGTCCCCTTGTCTCAGTCCTCTAGCCCCATGAAAATAACCATGAAGAATACCATTAATTGAGATGGAAAACTTAGGTGTTGAAATGCATTCCATGATCCAGGAAATCATATTTTCAGAAAATTTCAATCCTATCAGCATTTCTCTGATGAATTCCCAAGAGATTGTGTCAAATTCCTTCCTCAAATCAATGTTCAAAATAGCTCGAGGGGAAGAATGTTTTCTGCCATAGTGTTTAACAATCTCATGTGCTAAGAGGATATTACTTGATATAAGCCTGCCTTTTATGAATGCACTTTGTGCATCACTTATCAGATATCCCATCACTCCTTGAATTCTAGTTGCAATAATTTTAGTTATGATTTTGTACACACAATTGCAACAAGATATAGGTCTGAAGTCTGATGCATATTGTGGATTGAGAATCTTTGGAATTAAGGTGATGGAGGTGGTATTGAATGTACCAAGTAATTTCCCTGAGTTAAAAAATTCTTCAACTGCTGAGAAGAGCTCCTCACTGATAATACTCCAAGAGGCTTTAAAGAACAGAGCACTATAACCATCTGGGCCAGGATTTTTATCTTTTGACATAGAGAAGATAGCTTTTTTTATCTCATCTCTAGAAACTGGGGAACTTAGAGCTTGTCTCTGATCATGAGAGAGGAGAGGGCCATTAGCAATCACCATCGGATCAGGATTAGTTGTAGGGACTAAGATTCCCATCAATTTTTTGTAGTATCCAACAATTTCAGAAATAATAATCTCACTATCAGTGATTCTATCTCCTCTTTCAGTATAGAGTGTCAGAATTCTATTATGATGCCTTTTCTTTTTCATGATAGAGTGGAAGAATTTAGAACCCTTATCTCCTTCTAGACTCCAACTGTTATTAGCCTTTTGCTTATAGAAGGAGGATTCACATTCCAGCAATCTGTCGTATTTTTTGATACACTCCTTTTCTCTTTTAATCAAATCTGAGTTGAAGGGATCACCATTTAACAGCCTTTGGACATCAGCTAATCCATCTTTTGCTCTAAGTACTTGTTCACTTATATTTATAAAATGCTTCTTATTCAATTATTTAAGAGCATGCTTTAACTTCTTGAGCTTTGTGTGGAAACTGTACATTTTGTAACCTTTAATGTTTTGCTCCCAGACTTTTTTGACTGTAGGGATGAACTCAGGATGATTTACCCACATGTTGCAAAATTTAAATGGTCGTTTACCATCTATAACATCATCTTCAATTGCTAACAAGGCAGGAGAATGATCAGAACAACTAGGCAGCAGAAACTCCACTTGACTAGTTGTATATTGATAAATCCAGTCCTCATTAACCAAGCATCTGTCTAATCTAGACCAGATTCTAGTTTCAACAACCTATTTATTACTCCATGTGAAGTAGCATCCAATTGATTTTAGATGAAGCAGATGACTTGTGCTGATGAAGATTTGAAAATCCTCTATATCAGTATCAGAAACTGGCATACCTCCAATCTTTTCATCATAGCTTGTAATTACATTAAAATCCCCTCCAATGATCCAGGGACCATTGACACTATTTTTAAAAGCCAGAAGATCTCTCCAAAGGGTCTTCCTATTGGCCATTTGATTCTGAGCATAAACAATAGTACACAAGCTGGAGAATTTCCCATCTCTGGAACCAATGGTGCAGGTAATATATTGATCAGTTGAGATTATTACTTAAACAGTGAGAATATCATTATCCCATAGAATCTAAATTCTTCCATTCCTGGTTTCATGCACATTAGAAGTCCATTTCCAGTCTTTGGTAATTTTCATAGCTAACCTTTGCAACTTGTTTTCAGGAAGTTTAGTTTCCAGAAGACCTATTAATGAAATATTATAGTCTTGTATGAACTGCTTTACTATCTTGTGCTTGGAGGATTTATTAAATCCTTTTATGTTCCAAATAGCAAGATGCATTTAGATAGAATTTCCACCCCTGTCAACACATGAGGGGTTATCCAAAGGAGAGAAATGAGATAATTGAATACCTGAAAATTCAAGAATGCCTATAGTAGATCTCCTTGTTAGATTAGCTCTGTTGACACTAGAAAATCCAGAAGTATTTACAATCGGAGTTGAGAAGAGAAGTGAATCATTTGCTGGATATATTGAAATCCCTTTCCCTCCAAATCTACATTCAGCATGTGCATGTTTTTCTGTCTGTGCATGTTTTCCAGCAGGCAGTGTTTCCTTGCTTTTTCCTACAACCTGCTCGGTATTGATATTAGCTTCGGAAGTTTGCTGAACAAATGATTCCCTATCTAGCCCAGGAATAATAGCCGGTTCCTTACTAAGCTCAGGAGCAACATTCATCTGTGCATGATTTTCAGCCTGTCTAATAACCGGAACCCACATCTTTTTAGTTTTAATTCTTCTACATTGCTCTGTATCATGACCAATCTTACTACACAAAGAACACCACTTTGGTTTATATTCATAGATGACTGATTGTGTATAGCTTATTCCATCAGGCCCTTGAATGTTTAACTGATCAGGCAATGGATCTTTCAATAGCAATTTGACCTCTAATAAAACTCTTGCATAGCTCAATCTCTCTCTATTTGCCGTGAGTTTGTCAGTTGCAATAGGTTTACCAATTAGGCTAGCAACTTTACTGATTCCTATTGAGCTCCATAAGTTTAACCTTAAATTTGGAAATTACACCCACATAGGATAATAAATGTCCCGCATCTTGTCTATATCGGCATCAATGCTCCATGGTTTCAACATTAGAGGTCTGGACCCAAAAAACCAAGGGCCAGCTTCAAGAACTTCTCTCATAGATTTTTCTGATTGAAAGTCAAATAGGAATAATCCTTGCTTAATTAGTGAGACATTTGGTATAAAGATGTTACCCCATAATTTGTTGACATATGACTCCATTGATTTAAATTTTACATTTAATCCTATGACATGTCCAATTAAAGTATTTTTTCCATAAATTTTCTCCTTCTTTCCATTCGTCAGCAGAAAATGAGATTGTATTGGAATTGGAAGATGGCAAGAAATTCAGAGTTAATCCATTTCCTGCTTTCCTATTATCAGCAAATAGGCTAGCTAAAGTTTTGTTCATCTTTTCATTATTAACCACATTATTTTGAACCTTAACAGCCTCATCTTGGACATCATTCTCCTTTATTTCCAAATTAGAATTCACAGGATTTTTATCAATATTTCCTTCTTTGATCTCTTCAATAGATTTAGTCAAATCATTCGATCTATCCTCAGTCAACTTATTCACATCATTTATCAATGAAACAGTGTCAATATCAAGCGTCGATTCAGAATTCACTTTTTCAGGAGCAAGAACTCTTGAAGGAATAGCAGAAAGATTTTGAATCAAAGTAGAATTAGGAGAAATCACCTCCAATTCGACCTCATCTGCCCAAGAAACCCTAAATGAGCCGCTGGCGCCATCACAAGAATTTACAGATTTACTCAGGAGATGACGAGCTTGAATTCCATTCAGCTGAGAAGAACTCATAGCCTGCTGTGAATCAACCAAGAAATCAGAAGATCGGAGTAATTCCTCCATTGATTTCTTCTTCTTTTCCCCTTTTGGACCTGTCGAGCCCATAGCTATGTTGTTGATTCCTTCATCATCCTCAGCCAAACTTGTATCAATTTGATCCTCCAAACTAATCAAACTTGAATTGGAAGCTCTCAATCCTATGTTGAAGAGATTTTTCCCACTCACCTTCTTCTTCTTCGCCATGAAAAACCAGGCGGGGGCGCAAGTTAGTAAGAAACAGATCTACCGCTAACTTACACCATCAGATCTCCCGCCCTCCATTGAAAAAAATAGTCATTTGGTTTTTCAGATATTCATTTAGCTACGTATTTTAATTCAGATAGTTTAGTGGCATATTCTTCATCCGATATCAATTTACCCTTTGCAGATCAACGTACATGTTTTAAGTTTTGAATTTTTTATTAAATAGTAAAATATATGTTAATAAATAAAATTGTATTATAAGATTACTTAAAAAGAAATGTATGAATTAATTATTATTATATAGTTGTTGTAATTGAAGATTTTTCATATAATGATTGCTCAGTGCTAACCTTTTTTTAAATAAGTTTGCCAAATCTATAATTGTTCTAAAACAAGTCCGTCAAATCTATAAGTTCTCTTAAATATGCCTCTCTAACTTGAAAGTTGTTAGTTTAACTCTAAATTAACTAAACTACATTACTCTTGCTAGATTTTTCTGATGTTTCCTAAATAGTTACACTTAATACCATCAACATATTACGATATTTACTTCTCATTATAATTATTTAATAGGGTAAATTATACTAAACCTTTATGAACTTTCAGCCCCTATGAATTTTCAAAATCACACTAAAACCCTAATAACTTTTCTATTTCAAAGAAAACCCCCAATGACTTTCTACTTTTTGCATATAACCCTTATATATTAGAACCAAAAATGGCATAAAAAGACATTTGAAAGTTATTGAGGGTTTTGCCTAATTTATCTAAAAGATATTGGAGACTTTCTAAAAAAGTTATTTGGAGTTTAGTGTGATTTCACAAGTTTATAGAGTCTATTTACCGCAAAATGCTAAAAGTTCATGAGGTTTGCTCTAATCTACCTTACTAATATTATAATTCTTATTTCAAGTAATACTATTAAAATAATTATACTATCTAATTATAAAATATTTATCTAATTTAACTTTTATGCTCTTTAAAAATTTATTACTATAAATATTTTGTAAATTTTTATTATACTATCATTAACAATTAATAGTAGGATTATTAATATTAAATAATCTGTTTGTAAAAATGTTAGTTTTTAATCATTACTAAGTATAGAAGTACTATTCAGTATCATGTAATAATCTTTGAGAAAATATTCTAAAAATAATATTAAGTTGTTTATTTAATTTATTTAATAATATAATACTTAAATAAATAGTGTAATTCATAATTTATATGATATTATTAACATAATTACAATATTTATGCTATTAAATATTTATTCTATTTATTTTATTGCTCATTGAATTATAGTATAATTTTTAATAGTATTTAGTAATATATTATTTTATTATACAATTATATTAATATTTTATTGTGATTTATAAATAATAATAATATTTTAATAGGTTGCTATTAATAATTGTGTATGCTTATATTATAAATTATTTTATTGTATTATTATTAAATAATTCTTAGTAATAATATTATTGATAATTATAATTAGTTAGGAAGGTGAGGATGTGCATATTATGAAGTGGTTATATTTAACTAATGAAAGGTTAATTAGAGATAATAACATATTAAGTATTTATCAAAATTTAAGAGGGCAAAAGAGGAAATTAAAAGTTTTAACACTCTCGGTCCTCTTTTTATAGTAGTATATATAGATTTATCCTTATGCAAATATTGAAATTAGCACCCCAAAAAAGAAAGGATTGTGAAAATTGAAGGACGAACTATGAAAGATTCTAATTTCAGTAAGTACGCAGCCTCAGTAAATGTGTTGATAATAGCATAATTTTATACTTTAAATAATCCCAGTTGACTTTTATAAATGATCAAAGTAGTATAATTTTAGGGTGTCTTTGGTAATCTTTCAAAACTAGGCTAGGTTCAAACCTAGCCCGGTTTTGGAAGATTTTTGGTTTGCCAAAAAAGAGGGCCAGCTCTGGCCATGTTTTCATTGGCCAAAATGTTGTGTCTAAACCAATTTTCTTTTGGACAGGAGGGGCCGGTCCAAAAAAAGTGGTTGGACCAGAACCGATGTTGGTCCAGTTTTTGTATAGTTTGTCAACCTCACCCTTACACTCCATTGATACATAAATCCAAGAAATTGATAGGCAACTGAGTAGACAAGCCAACTAATTTGGCATATTTAATAGGTAGAAGGAGTGTTATTTATTCTAGGGTTTGCAATGTGTCTCCAACCACATTTTAACAACCAAACCCTATCTAAGAACGCTAAATCAATGACTTCATGTGGGGTCACGTAAGAAATAAGAATAGGTCTCAAAGGAGAGTGGAGAGGACACCGACGGCCTGAGCACTTGGATCTTAATCCATATATATATATATATAGAGAGAGAGAGAGGGGGGTAGAATTTTCTAAAAAAAAAGGTATATAGTTAGAATTAGTGGGATATATACATAGAAAATATGAGTATGAGATAACAATTCACTTTAAAGTTATTATCAAGAAATAGAATAAAGGTAATATGTAAGAGCATCTCCAACAGCTTCCCCATTTTCCACTTTGGAGAATTTAGTTAGGTTTTTGGTCTAACAGATTCGCCATCTCATACTCCAAAATAGGGATGGAGGAGAAAAAATGGGGAAGCTTCCCCAAATCTGCAGCATTCTTCAAATTTTTGGAGGAAAAAAGGGATTCCTCAAAATGGGGAAGCTGTTGGAGTTAGTGTAAAAATAATTTGGAGAATATGATTTTTGCTCCCCATTTTGGAGAAAATTTTGGAGAAGCTGTTGGAGATGCCGCATTGTTGCCAGCTTGACAATAGAAAGTGAACTTCATTACTCGTATCTATTGATGACGAAGTGAGTTGTCAGCTTTTATCCAATATGTATCATTTTAATTTGTCTAAGTTAGCCAGTCATAATTATTTACATATGTTTTTTTATTTTATTTCATTGTTTATTTACTCTTTCATAATAAAAGAATGTTACTATTAGACACTTATTTCAAGTATTGTTACAGGTATTATTCTTTTGGTTTTTGTTTCATTGTTTGTAATATAATCTAAGGTATGAAATTACCGTATTTGCATAATCCACCCAATAGGTAAGACTAAAATTCATGCCATCGCACTACGTCAAATGGTTCAAAGATAAATGGATTTAGTTATAATACTTTAATAATGATTTTGAATTACAAGCTTTATTATTATTAAGTTGCGACGAGTCCATGCCGGCAAAGCAAATACTAATTAGCTGATCATGACATTTTAAGGAAATCCCTTGAGAAGATCTGCTCGCACAGTTTGATATAGATGTGGATTATAATATTTTCCTCCCAAAAAAAAGGTGCATTATAATATGTCCCAGCTTGTCAAGTCAAATGTACTAAATTCTCGACCATAAAATGGTTCCAACTTCATTTTTATTAGAAAAGGTAAATAGACTAAAATCAAATGTCATAGCACAGATAGGTGGTTAATTATTAGTTTCAAGTAGATGTATAGATTCATCAATGGTTTTCTAGTGAAATATTAGAATCTTGGAAAAATTGCTTCAAGAACCCAAAAGTCAATGTACCCCAACCCCTCATACTTTTCAAAATGTGTTGCGGCTCTCAAAATTTAAAAATAATGTGCCCAAACCCTTCCAGGTCATGACATCTCATGATTATCTCAATTTTTTATGTTTTTTACCCCAAAACCCAATTTTACCCCTCCCCAAAATCATTGTCATCTCCCCCAAAACCCAACTTCTTCTTCCTCCTCCGTCTCCTTCCTCCCTCCTTCCTCGACGCCCCCAACATTCTACTTCCCGCCCTCTTCTCCTTATTAACCCCCCCCCCCTCCCACCCCAAGGTTTCCAAACCCTAACGTCGATTGCATTCACTTTAGGGTTTTAATTCAGCATCATAAAAATACGTGAAGTAGGTCACCGGCCGGCACAACGACACGTAGCTCCATTTGGCGGGCTAAAGGGGGATCTCGTTGCTGTTAGGGGGATTTTGGTGGAGGTTGATGCTCAGATGACAGGGACCGAGGTTGAGTTTGACGTAGAGGTGGCGGCCATCAGGTCGACGATGGTGAATGAGTTGAATGAGATGGGGGGCGATGGCGCTGTTCATTGTGGTGGAGAAGGGGTATTTGGATATTGTGATGGAGTTGTTGAGGTACACGGATAGAGAGAGCTTGGCAAGGAGGAATAG